CGGAGACTGAGTCTCTTTGTACGATAAAGAATTATCTTATTCTGTTGTCTGTTCTGTAGACTAGACGTAATGAGTGAAAAATTTGAAAGTGGACTCAATTCTCAGTGGATAAGTAATATGTGAATGCTTAATGGTGTATTTCTGATTGGCGTATTTAATGGCAAACAAAATGGAAAACAAGCCAACTTGTTAACTAGACAAGCATTTAATTGTGTATTTCTAACAATTTTTTATGATTTTCCGATGTATGCTGAAGAGCTTTAACAAGGGAAGGGCACAAACACTTTATGCTCTGTCAAAAATAAATTTAGATCGCCGTTTGCTGGATCTCGTCCCCATGTCATTGTGAATATTTTTATACCAACTGAAAGAGTATTGTCTGGAATATAAATGTACTCATGTTCCAATCACCCAGTTTTTTGATGCAGTGAGAAGTCGATAAGGTTAAGTCGCCTCTATGAACCCCGTTTCAAACTACTTTCAAAGCCTAGACGTAAAGCAATTGTACTGACCTGTGTGTAGAGCTATACTCTGGTTGTTAAAAGTATGTATCTAAGCCGCTGTATCCAAGTATCTTAGACATTAATACTGCGATAATATTACGTACAACAAAGTAATTTATTATCCGTAACGAGAGTATCATAACCTGACAAGTATCTAAGATATATAATTTGAAATATAAATATAGAATTCCAACTGCACAGCACACTCTATAAAAGTGTCTCCAGTGTTGTTTTCAGCAAACGTCCGTGAATATTTCGTATGACATATTCCTTTTGGAATTCACTAACAAAACTTTTCCAAAGTGATGACCAGCGCATAGAAATGTTAGAAAATGTAAACCCAATCTGGACGAAGGGTGATAAAATACATTTCTCTAATGCGTGTCTCTATCACAATTGAATTTTCTATGCAGTATACACTTCAGCCGTAACAGACGTCAGAATTCCTCAGAACACCTAAATAGTAAGTCTTGACAAAACAACTATAATGAAATATTTATAATTATATATATTATACATAATTATATTCAGACCATGCGAAATCAATAGTGAATAGTGTAAGGTGATTTTATACCGGGAAATAAATAAGGTTTATATAATGTATAGCGTTTTAATAACAGAGTAGAAGGGTCGGAAAACCCAGAAGTAAAAGTGAAGTTTCATTTCAAGGTTTCGAGCTCAGTCAACAATTACTTGTTTCTCTGAGCTTATAATTTTAACATTAAAAGTGCGAACATAAACTAATGTACGTCTTCAATGAAAGATAAAAGGTAAAAATCTTTCGACGTAGAATCTCCTGTTTCATCCCCTGACGTAACTGCAATTTCTACAAACCTCTCGCATTCTCTTCGCAGATTTCATGTTGAAGATCATTCTCCTATCAATATGAAACACTACATCGTTCTAATGGTGCTAATTGAGTTCGTTCAATTTTGTACCTGCGAGGTGAAACATCCCAAAAGACAAAAGCTACTTTCTAGGAGGAAGCGATACCTGTCTTTTCCAGATGGAAGCTCCATTGTGGTAAGTGTTCTTCCTATCAGGCTACAAATTCCAATATCTGTTAAAAGGAATATGTTAAGGTGGAATACTGAAATACTGTGGGGAAAAAAGCCCTTGACTGTCACGTATTCATGTACATTTTTGAAGTTATTAGAATCGTAAACAGATAAAATGTCTATGCAGATAATGAGCTATTAAAATAACGAATAAAATCATCAAAAGTACAGGAATATAAATATGATTCATTACTGTGTATTGTATTCATTTAGGCTGGTTCTACACCTGAAATTCGATCTACATTCATATAAAAATACCAAGTCATAACTCTTTATTATAACAATACTTCAGATACCAAATAATATGTCACTAAAATATGCACAGATAAAATAAAATATTAGTGTCTCTACACAAGCTATAATTTACGACAGAGACAGTTCCAACATACGAGAAAAAACAACTATCTAAAACTATTCCGTCAAAGATCCCACTTAAGTTGACTGTGTTCTTCCGGATTGTGACACTATGCAGTCTGGAATTTTAGATTCTCAGGCGTTAAAAAGCCGATAATTTTCATCTGGGTTGTGACACCGCATCATCTTCGTCCTGAAAATTGATGCGATACGTTCCCCCGAAACGTTGTAAGACACCTGTGATATCACAACCCAGAAGGTCGCGATCGACATCGTGTAGTCACGTAGCGATCTCTCCTCTTAAGATGAAAGCAACAGCATCTTCCAAAAGTTTGCCATCTACCGACGAGTTACACAACGTTAAAAGCCGGCCCAACGTGACCAGGATCCTTACTGACTGTTGCAGATAAATCTGTCTTTTGCCAACTCCTACATCTGGGACTACACTCCCCAACCGCGGCCGTCGTGGAACAGTCTCTGCGAGGCCGACATCGGCTTCAAACTGCCGAACAATTCTCGGTTGTTCTACGGCAAAAGGAAGAGGAGTTCACCAGGATACTACCTCGTGCACAGAAGCGAAAGGATGGAGCTCTACCGGAACATAGAGGGCTTGCTGGATATGTAAGTGTAAAGGGGCTTGAATTCTTCAGAATACTTTTCTGTCATGTTCTTCTGTCTCAGAACAGTGATACATGCATGTTCATTTATTTGTGTGAGATTTTAGGTTTTCACGGCAGCAAGTCGATCTTCTGAGTTGCTGCGCAGTGTAGTCTGGTACAAGTTCACCGACGTTTCAGAGGTGTTTGCTGCCTCAATCATCATCATCATCATCATCATGATCTTGATGACTGAGGCAGCAAGAGCCTTTGAAACGTCGTTAGTATTCTACCAAACTACACGGCGCAAACAACTTAGAAGGTAGTCATTTTTAATTCAAATTACAGTGTTTTCTCGCATTTAATGTCCAAGAAGTTGGAATATCATTCAGGATAATTGATTTAGAGTCGTGTTTTGTTCCAAGGTTCGGTGTGGACGGCCGTTCATGTGTAGTCAGAACGCTTTGCGAAGCAAAGGACTTTCTGAAACCTGGGCGGTCACTTGTGGAAGATATCTTACACGTGGTGTTCACGTAAGTACGCTAACAATAAGCATATTTCTATCTTAAAGCTGTTCCTTCGCGCCACATTTCCTATCCCACTGAGGTTTTCAGGGCAAAGTGAATATAAACGGTGTTCTTGTGGGTTGTTGCGCGGTGTAATAATAATCTGGCTGTGAGTTAATATTTTTGGGGAACCTACTGCTTCCATCTTCAGTGCAACGCAACATCCCAGAAGACCATCGTCTATGAAGGTAGTATTTCTAAAATAAACACATACAAAAAAGAGTTGTCGAATGTTTTTAAACAGAAGGAACATTGGAAACAAAGTTATTACTTTCATCCATCCGCTTATGTTTTCAGAATTCCAGACGGACAGGATGATGAATTTGAAGTGGAGGGATACAACGAACCTGGAAGTGAAACATTCTGCAAGTCCCGCGGAAAACGTTGTCCCTTCTCCTTACTGGAATACATGCTTCATGATTAGTTTAGCGCAAAACTTATAACTCACAACGAAACGATACCAAAAGTGTTTCTCTACTGTAATTGTTTGCTGAAGTTGACTGTCTTCTCGGATATTGCGCCGTCGTCTTCTAGAAACTTAACGATGATTCGGTAGTGTTTACTGCCCCCATCATCAAGGGAGAATCAACACTGCAAGGACCTCTGAAACATGGGTCAATTTCTATTAGACTGCGCGGCAACGGCTATAAGACAATCTTTATTCTAGCCGCCGTGAGAACTTGAAATCTTACATTAATGCTGTTTCTTGTCATGATTGCATGTGTCTCTAACAAGTAATACACGCTTCTAATAAATAAACTAGTCCTTAGTCATAATAAAGTTCCAATTTCACATTGAATTTTACGATATGCTTAAGATTAGTTCCGATCGTGTGTTTGTAACGTGTATACCCTCGAATAAAACTTAAAAAATTGTCAGAAATTTATAATCTCGTTGTTCATTAGAACGATATAAACCTTCCTTCCCTTTGTAACGTTTACTGCTAAGGTTTGTGAACAAGCAGGTCACGCCTAACATGAGGTGTCACTAGTGTTTGTTAATTTGCTTAATTACTTTCAATTACAACGCCTGCTAGTAAAACAGTTACAGTAGAAGATACAAATTAACATTCACATGAATTACAAGTAGTCTGTGGGAGCAGAGAGTCATCAACAAATATTGTTCAAAGCGTAACGATAAAGGTGAACAGCAGTTATAATAGAGTAACAAGTGATATCAGCAAAAGGTGACAGCAATCTTGTGGTTAGTAAAATTCAGGACACTGTCAAGAGACAAATGCGAAGTGATTTTCATATAAAAATTGTATGTGTATTAGAATAATTTAAGGGTTAGGCTTAGGTATTATTTCAGCACATGCCAGTTAAATATTCCACAGACTTTACTAGAAAACTTCTGAAGACTGGTAACGACAGGTTAATTGCTGAAAGCCGGAGAACAAACTGAGGTACAATGACGGGTTTCAGGATTCAAATAGGCATGTTTTGGATGTGATTTAGGCTTCTCATCCAGAGCCCATTTTTATAATAAAGATTTATTCGGGAGACCGTTTTCATACAACTCCGGAAATGGTAACACCCATTCTTGACCACGGCTTATAACAACGACGTTTACCAAAAGAGAAGCACACCGGTGTGTGTTGTAACAGCTATTTTTAGTGACATTACTCGGATTTTAGTTAAAACTTCCAACAAGGATATTTTTATACACTCACTTCATTTTGATGAAGTTTTGACTTTTTTGTCTAAATGCTTTAAGTATAATAATCAGACCTACTTACGTGAATCTGTGCTCTGAACTTACAATTTTTCTTGGTCACCAAATTTCTGCAGTAAATTATCTTGGAACATAAATTGGTAGGCAGCGAACGAATTAAAAATATAATAAACTAGTTCATAATGAGGTGAAAATAAGATTTTTATTATTGTTATTAAACCTAATTAATAATGTGTCTAAATAGTGATACATTTATTGGTCCATTGTAAATTATAGGAAATGATATCAGTTTCGTATTTGATATCACAAATATGGCCAGATATTCTTTTGAATTTTCTACTGTTGCGTTATTAATTCAGGTGAGTGCATTCGTTTGTCCTCAGGGTATAATGGATGGATACAAGCTGGTGTGCCTATTCGTCTTCTCGGTGGTTGCCTTCCGCACATGTCAGCCCACCTTTGACGGTTTACATGACATGACGGCACACTCACGCAGGAAACGTTACCTCGTGTTCCCAGACGGCAGCACGTTCTCGGTAAGTGATAAGAAGGTATATCTTAAGTATTAAAAATTTTACGGATTAAAATTTCACTCTGTCTTGAGGCTTTGTATTAACTAGGTAAAAAAGCTGGGATGAGGATCAGGCAATCTGACATGATTTCAACAAAGAATGTTATTCTTTACATACGAGTAGAACGAAGCCCTTACTCCGCGCAAATCGAATGAATGTTATAAAAGTGCATCATTTCAAATACGATCCAACATCAATCACAAACATTGGTACAAATATAAAATCGTAGGAAGATGCCAACGGTTCGGAAAAATATACTGTCTCAATAGTCAGCCCTGAAGTTGAAGACAGTATGTTTTTCATCGTCCCCGCTCCAAATACCTCAAATCATACATCTGAAACATTCAACAAATTACTCTTCAATTCTCTCTTAAATTCTTATTAAATTTAAAGTTCATCCCGTGACCCACCACTGAATATCATTCTAAAATGTCAAAAACAATCATGAACTTTGCTTGACACTCCGATGGCTCTCATAAACCTCAGGCATCTTCCTTGACCCAGCCTTGGTGATAGATATACATTATTTCACTTCATGAAGACAACCTCCACACAACGACGTAATCATGTGACCTACGGTGTCTATCACGGTAATGAAATCGGTAATAAGCAGATCCCTCATGGCAGCCAAGGTATTAAAATGCAAAGACGAAAATCTTTAAAACATGTCTCATTTTAAAAGACGCAAGATCCTTTTTAATATTATCAAAGCCCATCAATTAGCCTACTCAACCTTTATAGAATTAACCGGGGCACCCTTCTGGCTTCACAGATCGCTTTCTGCAATCAGTGGTTCGTGTTAAATAACAATAACATCTTCTCCGAAGCACTCAATTTTGCCGTCTCTTACGAGCTGCCGAATGAAACCATCAGGAACCCTGACACCAACAGCCTCGTGGTGCCGTATATTCTACGGAGACAGCGACGAGAACTGTATCGGCGGCTGGAGGTGGCAATGAACTCGTGAGTAACAACCCCACCAAAATCTCGTGGCAGACAGGAAGGGGGTCGACTATCCGTAGCAACGCGTGGAAAGATGACATCATCCTCCATGTTACTTTTCTCTTCTTTCTGTACATCTAGGATATTCTGGAGGATCATGTTTCGTGGTACACTCAGAAAGAGTGAAGAAATTTGCGACCCATTATAAATATACTGACGTGTATGATTTGAGGTTTTTACAGCGGTGAGTATGAAGATTTGTCTTCTGGGTTGTTGCGCTGTGTAGTCTGGTCAATATTTACCAACGTTTCAGAGGTCATACTGCCTCCACCATCAGGGCGATTCACGGCGCAACAACCCAGAAGACATAAATCTTCATACTTACGTGTAATCATAAGAGTGCAAGGTACTCTGAAGACAGTTCTTTTATGGAATGTGCTGAACTTACGGGACCGGACTTCATGGCATGTAAACTGTATCAAAAATTATCGTACACCCCTACAGCAGAACTTTTTTCAGCGAGTGCACTTTCAAATATTGAAATATGTTTCTGCATATTAGCAGGGCTAACTCAACAAACCAATGAGTCTACGCATCAGTGATGAGTGAAATGAAAGACTTTTGATTTTTGACTACAACCTCCAGCTATATGTATTTTTTTCTAAACATGTCGAAAAATAAATATCTAACTGGTACGTTTATGAGGGCCTTTATTATCGCGTCACCGACATATTTGAAAGTCGGAATCTGGAAAACAAATGAGAGTAGAATACAATTAGTCGGTTGTTTTTATTCAGAACTGCGTAAGTGATCTGACGCTTTATTTCGACTGCTTCGACTCGACTAGGATTGCGAGCAGAATTTTTTGCTGGCCGGTGATACGAGCCAACATTTTTTAACTCCTGTACGTTAGCTAAAGGTTCTGGGTAAGACCAAACACTTCATGACATTGGTGTTACAATGCGATGTGATGCAATATTAGACAAATTCTATTACGCAGATTTAGAATTTTAGAACATAGCACGTAGGTGGCAAAATAATGTGCCAGTTCAATAACTTCTCGTGAGCGTTAAAGTGTCCGCGATGATGGCCCGTAAAAGACAAAATCATGTTTGCAAATGATTAGAAACACAACATCTAGTTACAAAAAAGTTTAATCTGATAGCGCATTTAATATTAAAGTATGTCAATTGATTAAATGGTATGAAATGTAAATGCAAGTTTAATTTTAGGGGCGGGGTATCATATTCATTGTATATTTATTTGCCAGTTTTAGTAACTGTGTTAGATTTCAGCCAATTATTGTTGGTCTTTCATTTTAAACAACTTCACGTAACACCGCTATTAAGAAAGGAAACGAATGGAACATAACGAAAGTACTCCTTTATAATTTCAACTACGCCTGCTGGCAATTAAAAGTTTGTGAAGTTACAAAATTACGATTACAAACAATACGTACATAAAGACAAAGAATCTTATTACTTACAGCCCGATAGATCCCTCCGCTCACTGCCACAAAACTGAGGAGAAACAAACACGAATCTCAAGAATTTTTCAAACTTCGAGCTGAAACTGTCGCGTCAAACAAACAACTGCATTCTATTTTAATCAAAGGCATTTAATTACAAGACAAATCCAAGTGAATTTAATTCCGTACTCTGTTTCAGGGCAGGGCTAGACGGCCGCATTTGCATCAAAAGAGCTTTGTGTGAAGCTGCTCAAAGACTGAAGAAGTCTAAGGAAAGCATCAGCGAAGAATTTCTGCGGATTGTGTTCTTGTACGTGCAACAGTTAAAATACTAAGCCAGTTCCACAAAAGTCTCAACACACATTTGTAATTGGTCCCAGAACTTAACATCCTCAAAGGTTCATTACGCCGCGATAAAAATATGAAATCTGAGGAATTTATATTTGACGAGAAGCCAATTTTAACACGTAATCCGTAATTATTAATGTAACAAATAAAAACTTTCTTAAAAATATCAAATATTTAGACGTAGCATACCTAGCCTACAAATTTACAACGCGTTGTTAAAATTAACCAGAATCGGAATGATACATAAACAACCACCATGACGTCGATGTTGGTCATCTCGGCTGAAATGCCGTGTCGATTTGTGGTTGCACACCAAGGTTTCGGTAAATTATACTGCCTCCATCTTCACGGCAGTACGTTCCTCCGAAATGTTGGTATCTACCTCTAAGTCAACACTGCGCTGCAACCAGGAAGGCCAAAATCAACATCTTTACCGCCGTGAAAACTCAAATGTCATCCATCATGTCACTCTGCAAGAGAGTTCATTAGTTAACATGTCACGTACATTTTAATAACATAATAAATTCTACTGTATTGTCCCCATGGGCTAAAGGACGGGTTCAGATTCGTGGCTAAGGATATTTTTTCCTTTTCCACCACCGCGTCCAGATGGGCGCTGCGGTCTACAAAGCAAAGAGAATTTACTGAATTGCATCGATCGATTCAATTTACTTTAATCTGTGCATGCACACAGAAATGAGCGATTTTATTGTAAATATGTCCATCCAGATTTAAAAATCAATACTAATTAATAATGTAATCAAGCATAACAACTATTGCATTATTTTATCATCAAAAAAATTGAAGAAAAAAAATTTGGCCCAGAAAATATTATGTTCTGCGTATGAACAACATAAATTCATAGACAACGCCTAATATATTTTTACAATTGCTTAAATGCACCGTGATGCAGTTTCATTTAAATGTTAGGCTGCAATAACTGTACTTTTCTTTGTTTTCAGATTTCCTCTGGACGAGGTTGACATCTACGAGCCAATAGAACACCACATTTATGACGCAGCATACCGACGCGGGTTGTCTAATCGCGACTGTCCAGAACTGTACTCGACTTGCCCCTTCTCACTAATCGACGTATTTCTGGGTGGACCCACATACGAATAATTAAGGTCTTCTAAATAATAATGTTTGAGACATGATGAGAAAATATTTCAATTTACACGAAAGACGAACCTTTTAACAATTGAAGAATACAACTGATACCAAAATAAAATGCACTTCTACGACTAGAAATAATGACTTAAAGCAACTACATGTGTATTTCAACGTCAGACAATAATGATGAGCACAATATATTGATTCATTATTAATATCACTTCTACCAGTTCAAATACATTGCTGCTCAAAATGTATTTAAACTGGAAAAATAACATAATACATAGTCAGATTTCGTGCAATTTGGTTATGAAACTGTTGTATATATAATAAAAGAAATATTACACAGGCTTATAATAAAAATATTAACTACTCTACATTAATGACACGTTTACATGAACACTGTTCTGTTTGGAAACTGAAGTATATTACACTTTAATGGAATTAACAAAAATTAAATTATACACAGACTATTGACTTGTATTAATGTTTAGAAACACCAACACATTAAATAACTTCTAAAAATTGTGTTTAATTATTATTAGTTGGTACAGACAATTTTTTTCTTACCATCACGAGTGATGGTATTTTTAAAATATGACATGAACCCTTCACTGAACCCGTCCTCATTTGCATTCTTTCATTAACGTTGAATTACAAGACGATTGTAAGCGATGAATTTTGGATAATATTAAATGTGGGGCCATGGCTTATTTTGAGACACGGTTCAAGCATTTTCCTGGAGGGGCTGAAAAATTACATGATCAGGATTTCGGACAATCAGGCCTAGATTAAAACGCGAAGTCTCTTGACTACGAAATCGCGTCTGGGCCATTGCGCCGCGCAATATGGTAGAAACTGACCAACGTTTCAGAAACGTCGGTCACTTTCAACCAGACTCCTCGGAGCAACAGACCAGAAGACACTTTCGCCGCTGTGGAAATCTGAAATCTCATCGCCCGTCTATGTCCTTCTGTCGGAGTGAGATTAAGTGACCTCAGCAAACAGCAAATGCACTTCGTTCTCGCCTTTCAAAGCTGTCACTAATGGCAAGACTGTACCTGTACACCTGCGAGCGATGTTTCACAACTGTCCACCCCTGGTGTGGAGTCACTAGCTTCAAAGTACATTTTCAAGGGAACTGCCTTTGTTTCTACAACTTCTTCACTGAGGTCTATGAATGTTCTGGCATTTCAGCATCCCAATGTTAATTCTTTTCTGTTAGCTTTGTTGATTAGCTTTCGTTACTTCAGCTCTGACGTACAAAGCGACATGTGGTTCGCTTCGACATGCCATTAACCTCTGACGATGGTACAGAACAGACGGTGGTCTGCAGAATATTATCGCCTGTTAAGTTATCAAACTTACAAGAGTTTATGGCAGTTTACAGCAGTACGTCTTCATGTAGAAAGCGTGATGCAATTTTGTATTGAGATTTGCCAATATCAGGTAATTCAATATTCCGTTATATGACTCATAGATTGTTTGTTCTCAGGTCATGTGCTACTCGGACAGCAAAGTTTTCGTTACGTCAGACATAACACAAAGACAAACATTAGAGGTTATAATTGTCCATAAGTATTGAGAATATCTCTGTTACGATATATAGGTGCTTTACAGATTCTGATAAGGACTTTAAATTTATTAACAGAGACCCCTTGTGTGTAAAATTATAATAAATTGTGTAAATTTCAGTATGAATAAATTTATTACAAGTGTTTTAAAATTCTCGTCAAGTGCGGTATTAAAAGTAACTGATTCAATGCGTCAAATAGATGGACTAAGACAAGAATGTGACCTATATTGTTTTATATTTAGTGTAGTTATTGATGAATTAACGGGAGAGCCGATGAGTAAAAGTTTACATGTGTTCTCATCCTTCAAAGCATGTTACATTCATTTGATTTAATTTAATTTATTCACTCATTCATTGCCCATGAAATAAGTCATTGCATGACATTCATTTAATCATTCACTAATCCATGATCAAGCTTATCCTACGAACTAGCAAGTTTTGAAGAAAAATAAATTTCAATACTGCCTGACGTTTTTGTTCCGTGTGTCTGCAGAGTTATGCTGAAGAGAAGACTGGTACTTATCATCCCATTCACGGTGCTACTCTTCCACACAACTTTCCAGAATGGCGATATGGTAACCCTGTCACGCGGCAAACGTTACATTGTCTTCCCAGAGGGAAGCACATTCTCGGTATGTTCATGTAAAATTAAATATTGTTTCAAAAGAACGTCACAAATATCATTACATAATTTTTATTCGAAAGAGACCGATGGGCGATTCCTGAAGACGTGTCATCACCTCTTCACCTTATAAAACCGTATTCATTTCCTAAGACCTAAAATTGAGAACTGATAGATTTCCATTTGCAATTTTCAACAACAAATAAGTATAATTTCATCACTTGAGAATTTAGATGCAGGTTTGAAGATAATATTAATGCGTGTACTAGTGTGTGATTTTGTGCAATGGCTCAACATAAGATCCAGGGGAGTGCTTTTGTGAACACGGAAATGAACTTTTGGGTTCCACAAACGTTGGATAATTTCTTGAGCACGTGAGTGGCTATCAGGTCGTCACAAGCATCATGCACAATCAGTTAACTGGTTACCGTAGTAAACCGACGTTTCGGGAACAAATTCAATACAATATTCTCCGGTAATCAGCCGCGTTAACTGGTTACTGTAGTAAACCGACGTTTCGGGAACTAACACTGAAGATGGGGACAGTTTGTTCCCGAAACGTCGGTTTACTACGGTAACCAGTTAACGCTTCTGATTACTTATAGTATTGTGAATATGGTCATTCGTACGTGCGTGCATTCGTCAGTGTGAGCATTTGTCCTTGTGAGCATTTTTCCCTGTGAGTAATTTTCGTGTGAGCATTTGTGACAGTGAGCTTCCTTCTGTGCGCAATTTTCGTGTGCGGTTCTGTCGTGTGCGCATTTGTCTGGTTACCGAACATAAGACACACTGCCTTGTCTATTGTGCGGTTTCGAATATCGCGGTTTTATAGTTCGCGCGGGTTTCCAGTTTAAGCCCTTAGAACATCGAGGACGTGCTGCACTTCTAAAAGGGATAATAGAAAAGAACAAAATGGAGCAAGAGATGAACAGACCAAGAAAATCATCTCCTTTAAATTTCAACGGGTCTTCCCCTCCAAACTGATATCCAACCCTTAACGCCTCAGTGTTCCAACTGGATGGGTTTCCCAAGATATAAAGGGGAGAATAATTCTGAGTTACGACTAACAAAGCCATAAAATGCACCTGGCGTCGTAGGGAGTTGTGGTCAGTACAATATTGTTTACGACGGGCGTATATGACGGCCCACCGCTTAACACGTCTTGCAGTTGGGAACAACAACTCAGAACCGAACAAGGAAACGTTGAAAAACAACGGCTCGTGTGCCATGTTCTTCGGATAGATGAGAAACTAATGGCCATATTATCTGCTACCTATGAAAGAGCAGAGCCAGTCACTTAATTGGGAAATACGCCAAGTCTTTTAAGGAATCCGAATGTTCATTACCGTATTGACAACAGTATTCCACTTAACCCTATCCAGACTGAGATAAATCCAATTAAGACACAGAGTATCTTCCTTGAGGATCCATTTGAAAACTCTCATCTACACACAAGAATTCCGAGAGGTCACTGAAGTCAGATATTTCGAATAACATTTTGAACACATTCCTCACTTCGTCCATGCGTGCTACATGCCCCAAAAATTACAAATTAAGAAGATTTTTAATAAATGTCTCTCCATCCTTTTGATTTAACCTTTTATTGATAAATGCAATATACTCACGTGTATCAAAATCTCAGATCTTAAATATTTCTAACATGAAATTCAGTACTGGGAGAGCCACTTTTTGCATTTAGACTGTCTACGTAAAATTCCTTAATATAAATGGTGTAAAAAGTATTTAACCTCATTCTATCATTGGTTCTTGCTATAACGAGTTAAATTCGCTTAAGGTTCTTTTTTCTACAAATAATTTACGCCTATACACTTTTACCACATAAACCGCACATTAAACTCAATTCCAAATCCTTTATTTAACACCATAACAGGGAAACTAAAAGAATATATATGAATATTCTCCTTACTTAATCTATTCCTTTCCATACCGCTTTATTTCTAAGATTCAAAATCGTTACGCTGTTCATTTATCTTAATGCCGATGCACCTAAAATATTTACTCAAGTATTAACGGATATAATTTTGATTCATTTTTGGGATATTTAAAAATTATAAAATGTCGAGTGAAAACGAAGGAAACAGTGAACATTAAGAAAATCCTATTTAATAGTCTGGAGATGTCAGTCGCAATCTTTTCAAGGTACTGTTCCGGAATTCGCCTGGACTGAGAAAACTGTAAACACTTTCACTCAGGGTGGTAAGTGATCCGGCAGAGATCGTTACGCTTTCAAGTCACTTGAAGTCTGTACAGAAAACTCGAAACGAAAGGTTTACGTTGTGAAAACCGAACGTTTCAATGTTTGCAGATGGAAGCTCTCAGAGAAGAAGTTACTGTGGCGACAGATTTGCTCTGTGAGGGGTTGCGCGATATTCTGAGAAATTTAAAAGGGAATGGCGATGTTAATCTTTCTATGTTCCTGGCCAATTATTTGCCACATGGAACTTTATACCTCATAGAAGTTAACAAAATTAATTGCAGTTTCGTCGTTTTAAGAAACCATTCCTTGAAGAAAAAAAATGAAGCTGAAATTCAGCAGGTATAAAACACTTGCTGTGTGTACGTTCAATGATTTTCGACCTTATAAAATTCAAAATCTCTGAATTATAAAATCCCAGGCAACACTCAATTTATCTTGGTCATGATCCTGCATACGCGTGGCTACAACAAATAATTTAGACCGAAAAAGTATAAATTTTTGTCCATGTTGGTCATCTGGCTAGAAAACGCCGTGCGGACTTTTCCGATAGATACCAAAATTTCGTAGGCACATACTGTGTTATTTTTGAGAAGACCAACATCGGAATCTTCGCCGTCATGAAGACCTTAAGTCTCAGGCAGAATTCTGGTACAGAACATTATATAAGAAAGAATTTGAACAACTCGCCTCGTACTACACGCCAAGCTAAGTCTCATCGCTAAAGACTATGATATTTCGGCTACAGGTAGCATTCTGCACGACCTGGAAGACGCTGACTGATGACTTAGACATCTACACTATAGGCCTTAATTGGGCCATATCGTACGAGCTGCCAAATCAAACCATTCGGGATACAGAAACTCATCGAATTGTGCCGCCCTTCACCTTAAGACGTCGGAGAAGGGAATTCTACCTCAGACTGGAGGCGGCGATGGACGCGTGAGTATTGCATTGGCTGCAGGTGTGACGCAGTCTGACACAACGCGCACCGACGTTGCGGTTGGAACAGAAGCAACAAGATAATTCAGTATAGAAAATGTCAGAATATCGTTGTTGCACTCAGTGAAACCACTTGAGATAAGTCGGATTACATACCTAATTAAACCTTAAGAGAATTTTATTGGATTCCTTTCAAACTATAACTTACTTTAAAAATTTACTCAAAAAAGATTTGAGTACTTCACATACCAGTTAATGTGTAAAACATGGTAATATTCCTATTGCTAAATTGAGTCTTTTGTTGCCACTTCAAACCACTGAATTTCTTTATTAATTCTCGGTTAATTGTCGTACACGTCTGTTAATTAGCCTTTCAGACTTCTGGCTCAGTTACGTAATCAGTACATTTTAAAAATAACCAAGTTTCGGACATCCATAATTTGTCGCTCTTACGAAGAGACTAAAACAATTTAAACGGATTACAACGCGTTAACAAAACAAACATGTTTAATGCCTTAAAGAAATAGTTGACCGTAATTAAATACATATTTACTCAAATATACTAAGAAACTTTGTGTATCTGTAACAATTTTGACTTTAATTTTATAGGTTTTAGTCGTTTTCCTCAGTTTCTCCACTTTAATGAAGGGACTGTCTACAGGCAGTGTACGACGACCTCGTAACCTTCCGCCTCATTTGACGTTATGTGAATTCTGCAGTTGAACAAAGTCACCGAATTTTGTATGATCTGAAGTTTTCACGGCGACGAGGTACAACAAATTCTTCTCGGGCTACCATCTACTACAGAAGACGGTTCTCGAAACGTTTGTGTTTTCACCTTTCAACCATCGGACACGGCTGGTAGCCCGAGAATTAATTAATTATAAAATAATATTAGATTGAACGGATGAAGCAGAACAAGATAATCGGGAGGTGTTGCACGCATGAAAAAAGGAGACAAATGCGTACTACGTTTTGTTCGGAAAATTTGAAGTGTGAATAACGCTTGTGAGACCTGAAGTAGACGAAGGGAGGAAAAAATACTACTAGTGTCTGAGGAGTGACCAAATTTATCTGCCTAACGATCTGAGAATACGATAACAAATTTGCATGTTCCACAAAATACCGGGAATCTAAGGATTCTGTGACGAGCTGGGTGACTAACAGCTTCTAAAGAATTTTTTTTTCCCACATGTGTTTTTTGGTCTGGTATGAGATTTTGTGGAATCAGACTGAGATGGGCATAAGGTCCCTTTGTAATTCCATTTATTTTGAACTTACAACAAAATGAGGTAAATTTGAGAGATTTATTTTAAAACTGGCTCAGTTAATTCGCTGCTGGATCACACCGTCGGTGCTGGTCCGATAAATGACTGAAATATTTAAAAAATATTACTGTCTTTAATTTATATACCCCATAAAATGTATTTTAACATGTTATAAGGCTGGTTACGTATGAAAACCAGAACGTCTCCTGCTGTACCCTTGGTAATTTATATTCTGCGTCAGATTAAATGCGAGTCTGTTCCTCAGAACACATGCTTCAGCATCTCGGTGACATTATTTTTCAACTTTATAAAGACTCCAGTCTGGTGGCATTCGACCTACATTGTCTCTCCCATTTTTATTCAAGGGTGAATAAATTTGCAACAGAACTCAGCGTAAACCTGCATATTTATGCGATGTCTCCGTGCCTGTATTATCAATGTCTTTTGGTTTCAGGGCAGGAATAGAGGGTCGGTCTTGCATTAAGAGGGCGCTGTGTGAAACTGCTCAACGACTGATACCTAAAGCAAGTATTCTAGAAGAACTGCTTCGAATCTTGTTCTCGTAAGTTTTAATAATTAAACAATATGACGGCTATAAAAACTCATTGTAATGGCTCTGGTTTTCGACATATCAAACTCGTGATATAATTAAAGATATTAAAAGTATTAAAAATTAAATAATTTATCTGTTTGCTCAACATACATGTAAAGAAAGAAATATTTATTACGGAGCAACTGTTTCAATTATGTGCAGGCATTCCAGAAGAAACTGGTTATCAACTGAAAAATGAAAGTAGTTTGATTTCCAGTTTCTAGTTGCCTTGGCGTACACACGCCCCTACTGAACGAGATAAACAGTTGTTACAACACCACGTGATACTCAAGGGCATCTGTCGCTTTCAGACTTCCTCCGGAGAAGGTTGACATGTACGAACCTGTCGAGCACCACGAATATGACGCAGCCCACCGGCGTGGACTGTCAAACCGGGCCTGTCCAGACCTGTACCCGGAATGTTCCATATCTCTGATTGACATGATTCTCGGAGCGTAAAACTACGAAGCAGACACTGCGTTCAGTGTCCTTCACATTCTGTTACACAAGCCTACCGTTTCTGTACGTAAAGCAATGCGACTTCTGTCAAGAACAATTTAATCAACCCTTTGATATGACTCTGTATCTCGGACATACACCTTGTAACAGCACGTGATCATGTTGATAACATGCTAATAAAAATAATTCATTTCATTATCAATGTTCTGAGTCATCTGCCAAATGACCAATTGGACACAAAACAAAGACAAGACTCCTCCCCCAACATTGTCAAGAAGAATGGGATGGGTTGGGCATGTAGAGCGCATGGATGAGACAAGAGGTGTGCACCGGGTATTGGTTGGGAAGCCTGAGGGGAAGAGACCGCTGGGGAGACCTAGACGTAGATGGGAGGATAATGTCAGGCGGGATCTATGGGAGAAAGTAGTTGAAGGAGACTGCATTTTGTTGTTCCAGGATAGGGTCCGGTGGAGGGCTTTGGTTAATTCGGTGATGAACCTTCGGATTCCGCAAGCCATCTAGTTAATCTACCCTACAGAACAGGCATTTTTGTCTTTTTACATGCAAACAGAAGCAGTTTCCGAACCGTGGTGTCTATAACTGTTGTAACTTAAATCACAGACAACAGACATGTCCCAATAAAATATCATAATTGCCCAATATTAATAGACTACACAAGAGCCATTAAACTTCAGAGTGCTATCCACTTTTCTTCCTGAGCGCACTAACTCTTACACATGATTAATAAGTTTCACTTGCGAATGGCCACAACAGTAATGCATGTAACACGTTGGCAACTGAGCTGTGGACACCACAGGGAACTACTTTTCATGATCGACATACAGAAACACATCAACAGTGTACAAAACACGCCCATTTATCAAAGTAACAGACGTTGGTACTGGGTAAACCCCCCAACATACTACACATACAAATAACCAGTAAACAAAAGTTTGTTCAACTTACCTTCAGAGACTTGCTTCATTTTCACTAAAACTGCTGTGTTCTGCTCCGTCGAATCCCAAAGCTCACATTTCTGCTGTAGTTCCTTCATGATCAAGAAATCCCCCGCCAACCTTCAACATTATTCTTTTGTTTCACTACAACGCAGACGAACAGCCTTCACACACACACACACGTGTATTCTAAAATGCACACGCAACGACATCCGAGAAGGGACTGTGGCAGCATGGCAGCTTTAGCCGGAAACAGGAAGCGGAACTAGTGCTTGCTTCTTATTACCACCACCAGGTTCAAAGCAAGCACCGTGCAAGCTTATAGGGTTAATTGTTCAGTTTCAAACCCTTACAAAATTACACCAAAACCATTTAATTTAAATACCTCATTTTGTGAAAGGAAAGCCAGGATCTGTACTGCATGGACGATTAATTTAATCCAAATAAAAACAAGAGCATGGAATCAGTACATAATACCTGTTTTTTACACTTTGTATTCCAAATATACAAAACATTCGACTTTTTCTTTCTATAATCTGGAGTGTTTTTAGAATCTCATAGAACAAACTGAAGTCAACAAATGGTTGACCATTTGCTGTCCAGTCTGTGTATAAGCAAAGTTAGATTAAGAGTTCTTTTCGATATCTCGCTAGTGAGTTTAAAACCCCAAAAAAAAAAAAAAAATTGTCCAGTCTGTGTATAAACAAAGTTAGATTAAGAGTTCTTTTCGACATCTCGCTAGTGAGTTTAATACCTTAAGAAAATTAAAAACCCCTATTAACACTTCCCCATCCCAGTTGTGATCATTATTCATTAATCCATAAAACCACGCTGCCTAATGCAAGCTATACTTAGAATTACGTAATTACTAAATTCTGACTAACGTTATGAACTACTGCTTTTGACTGCGTATTGAAATTTTTATAACCCCAGAAGCAGTGACACGTGGCTTTCTTTCCGTCACATTGTTCTTGCCCGAAATTATTTTTATGAAGGCTTTAAAGAGAGCGGAAGGACAGACAATGAAACCAGCTGAAGGTAAATTAGCTTCGTAAGGTTGCGAATAAAATGGCAGAGAGCGAGAAAATACTGGAGCAGTCAAATAAGACCTCTGGCGTTACTCTCTTATTTTATTACAAAAATAACTTTGACTTTCTCTTCCAGTATGAGTTACTTTATCGTAACTTTAAAGCCCGTATTTCAAACTATCTATTTGGTTATTCCATTTATAGTACAATTCTAAATTATGATAAAAAAAATCAACTCGTACTAAGCCTATACGGCATCTACGTATCTCCCCCATACACACATACATACACACGTCTCAGAACTTAGTGGGGTTCTTTGACCACGCCAACTATTAAATATACAAATGCGTTTTGTGTTTGTTTATGACACTAGAAACCAACTTGATAGAAAAGTCCCTATAATGATATCTTACGCTTCTCCCAGTCTCTATGCAAGTACACAGCCGTAAGTGTTCACTTTGTGTAGCGTGATTTATACTGAAATGCAATTTTTGTTGTGTTGCAAAAATGAAAATTTACGTCATATGTATTTATTTATCCATATTATTTATAAACATTTTAGAACAAATCTTTATTGTGGTATAATAATAATAATAATAATATTAACGTTTAGATACCAAGTTGAAATGCATTCATAATTACTAGAGTGATTAGGTAAGTCTAAAATCTATTATTATTTTTAGATTTAAAATAAGTTTGTAATTAGATAATCTGAAGATAAATACAGAGTAACAGTTACAATCTTTTGGAAAAACCGAACGTCTAGGCAAGGATAATAATAGCAAACTCACCATTTGGTATAAGACATGATCGGTAATGTAAAATTTGATCCACAGGAGACAGATACATTTTGTTGCTAAGGATACCTAAAAGCTACCAAGTAAACATGAAACAGTACACATGAGTTCTAGAAAGTTTCTTTAAATGCACCTGCTACTTGATATATAGGCTATAAAAATTTATAATTTTTTTCAAAACATTACTTCCGAGACGATAATATGCAGAGCAGTAATTAATTATCTTACCATATTGTTTACTTTACGTATATTATCACAGAGGAAAAATGAAATGTACTTAATTAAAATTATGCATGATTTAAGTATATGAGAAATTACTTACGCTAATAAGCAACAACGAGATTCAAGTAAGAAATGAGCGCTTGAGCAGGGTTCAAGGTTATGATAGAAACTGGAATAAATGGAAGACATTGATTTGAATGGGATGTAAAGTAATAAACTTTCTAATTACCGTTCAGTGTTTCTGGTAACATTATTTCAGGGCTGTAAACCCTCAGTGTTAGATTTATGCGCTTATAAATTAGTAGCACTGTTTCTGAGTGTGGCAAAAATTGAATTTCGTATGGTTTGTTCCACACAGTCCTTTCCAATGCCACATCCAAAATCAAAACGCAAATAGTTAATTTTAACAACCGATACGTCAATTGAACTCTACAAATAACATAAGTTGATTTTCCTCGTTGCGTCAGCTTCTATAATTTACAAATTTATGGATATTAGTCTACTAATTTCATCCAGTCTATGATGCAAAAACACAACCTTTTAATATCCGTCAGTTTTATTTCTTCGTGTTGATTGTCTTGATAGCTTCATTCGTCTTCAACTGAACTAAGCAGCACACATTATTACTTTGCCTTCGACGTTCATTAGTTTTCGGTGTACGGTTGAAAACCTCATAGTTTCTGTGTCACCAGTACGCATTACACAATACTCTTCAACATATCAATTTTGAGTGTTCTCAGTTTGTTCCTATCCGCAGCAGGAACACGTAAACTTCATCCGCGTCCGTGTTTTGTTCATCTTTAACATCCTCTCCCGCGTTTGTCCTCTTTATCATTTTACAGCAGTGAATACGTTACTAAACAACACTGTGATTCCCATAACTCAGCACTTCCTACGAATCAGAGAAACGTAATTACAAAAATTCAATTCGAGTATATTTTAGAATGTAGGAACACGAGGTTTGCATTAAAAGACTGTCAATTACGTATATAATATGCTTGTTACCCATTAATTTACAATAGTTCGTCTTCTCTTTAGTTGTATAAAATCTTAAAAACTTAAGTATAGGCCACAAACTATAATTTTATTAAATGTTTTGTATGTACGTAAAACGTGGTCTCTCAAATTCTTGGAAAAAAATCAGAGGCGAATATATAAGCTCAAAAGACAGGACGAAACAGAAAAATGGGGAAATTTCAAAACCAGAATCTTCATAATCTGCACTCTTTACAAATATCATTATGCTGGTAAAATCACGGAGAATGTAGGACGATTGGAAAGAATCTTCATAATCTGCACTCTTTATAAATACCATTATGCTGGTGAAATCACGGAGAATGTAGGACGATTGGAAGACTCTCGCCTTTTATAAAATTCATAGCTTCAGTAACGTGTTCATACAAACACGTTCCTGCAACCAATCTTAGGCTAGATGAATCCAGTCGACAATTTCAAGCTGTGTTTGAGGTCCATTTGTATCATCTTCCTACCAACGTCTAGGTGTTCCAAGTGGCCTATCCCCTTCAGATGTTGGTTTTCCAACCCAAAATTTACTACGTATTTCTAATATCCACCACGCTGTATTTATCGATACTATTACAACCAGTTATCAATATATTTACGAGTAGTGAACCAGGATTTCTCTAACTCTATTGGAAGTGCTGAGATAATATGACGTTCACCTTGTTAAAACGGACAAATAAATGTGTGTTACCGCGTCACTGCCGAACAAGCGATACTCCCAGGAGGAGACTTTTCAAAATTCAAACCTCTCTCTTATAAACATCACACCCAAAATTTTTAAACACACTTTTAGTTTAACCGGAACAAATGTGGTCCAACCTATTTTTCTGCACGTTTCACTGTTCCGATGTAAGATTCCCCGTCACTGGTACACATGCGAATAGGAAGACATTAGTTTTAATGTCTTTTTGCGCACGTAACTCTTGCAAAACAAATGTGTTGAAGTACGAACAGTATATTAGTTCATTCTCCTTCATAAAACCTTTCTATTTAGGATAAATAGCTCTCTTACTTATGATTTTTGAGTGAGGGGCAAATATTTTTAATACTTTTTTTAAAATTATCATATGTAACAATTATACTGTACACACCCCTTTAACTGCACACTAGAATTACTTATTTAAATATTTACATTTCCGTTTTACGACCAAGGCGCCTTTTTATATGACTGAGAATTTTTGCCGATTATGGAATTTGTACAAGAAAAAAACGTGATTACGAATTCTAGGTACAGTATTTCCAAAAAGGAAATATCACATCATGACGTATTCAGGAGCACAAAATATACAGGGTTCTTACCTGATAATAACTGGGCTCAACACGGAAAAAATTTCTTCGCTAATCTGAAAAAAATTTATAATTTTAATGTACTCTATGAGATATCAAAGATAACAAGAAAGATAGCAGAGATGTTTCGTCCGATCTTATCATAAGCGCCATTAATGTAGATTAACGATAGATTAGCGCCAGTATGGTGACATTACTTCGAAGAGAGAAATCCACTGATTCTGGCCCTGACTGTGTTTGAACTTACAAGACAATATTCCATTCAGAATATCCCGAGTTTTCTCAAATGCCTGTACACAACCTTAAGGCAAACGAAACATGATTTGATGCAAACTTAAAAAAAGGTGTAAGGTTATTTTCTAAATTTAGTTTAAAATTAAATTTGAAACGTCGAGACTATTTGTATCAAATCATTCAAAGCTTAAAATAATGTTCGGCTTTCTGCACGTTCAGCAACCAATTAAATCATTGAAACTAAAAAAAATAATTAAAAATTCAGAAAAAAAAATCGCAATTTTGTGGGCAAAATTTAAACAGGTGGTGCAACGCCGATGAACAACTATTTAATAAGAAATCTGGTGTATTGTGAAGATGGCAATATCGTAATGTTCGGAAACTTCAGTCCTCCTCTGGGCCCATCATCATCATTCTCATCTTCTTCTTTGCGACCTTGGAGTACTGAATGTCGATTGGACGCGTCGTGTCGTATAGCGAAGGCGCCTGAAGGATGATGAGCGCCGTGCCGAGGACGCAGGCGACGGTAAAGATCCAGAGGAAGAGACGATCCAGAACCATTGCCATGTACTTCCAGTCCTCTTCCACCTGCTCACGACAGACGGCATATTTCAGACAGGACAACTTGTGTAATGGTCAAGATCATACCTTAAAAACCCGAATAACGAATGTTCCCAGAATATTCATAATTTACCAAATTATCTAACTACATGAAGACGACCTAAAATGACACCTATCTAGACAATAAATTGCCCGCCTTCCTTGGTGCAGAATGTTCACGGCCGTGTTTAAAAGAGACCGTCACCGTTCCATATCCTAGGGCATATTAATCCAATCCGTTCAAACCAATTTGTCAAAGGTAATTTTTTATTAACCTCCCACCTACGCCTAGATCTTACGAGTTAACTCTTCCCTTAAGACTTTGCAACAAAAATTTTGTACGTATCTCTTATATCACCATGTGCGCTAAATGCTTGGCCCTTCTCATTTCCTTGATATTATCATCGCACAAATGAAGAAGTTCCTCATTATGCAATTTACTCCAGCCTCCTGTAAATTCATCCCTATCGGGTCCAAATATTCTCCTCAGCACCGTTCTGAAACACCCTCAGTCTGTGTTCCTTCCTTAACATAAGAGAATAAATTTGACGTCAGTACGAAACAGATAGAATTATAGTTTATCATATTTTAATTTTTACGCTTTACTAAAAGGGGAGATTATAATATTAAAGAATAGGTAAGAAAGTAAATCCTTCAGGGACCCACATCAGTGGGTACGTGGAATGGTACCCCCGAGGTACCCAATACCTGGGCTACCCTACCTCTGGGGGCTGTAAGTACGGAGGTCTGGTCCTCCAGGTTGGGGGTTGGGCGTGGGGCTGACAAAAAGCAACTGTTACGAAATCAGATAAAGCAACTGCCAGATGGACTCAAACGGATTGTCTGTGAATGAGGAGGAATGGAAGAAGCTTTTGTTGAAGGCCACGGCCCACACACGGCTGTAGAGCCAGTGACGATGATGATGATGACGTAAAAAAGTAAATGACGTCATACAATTATGTGTTTTGGAATCGGTATTGAATGATTTGTAAATTTTTATAAGATGTAAATCGATTGACTAATGCTACATTTCTACCGGGACGAAAATCAAATAGCATAAAATAAAAAACCTACCACACGCGTAGCAACAGAATTTTAACACTTGTTAAAGAGACACGTTTCTTCACGCAAAGAATACGGAACATTACACACCCTATTTGTTGCGTCAATAACCTGCAGTTATGGACAGAGACCACTGGCCCATTTGGTTACTACAGACTCCTTCCAGCCTGTGCAGACGCTGCCCGCCATCACAGGTTGCGAGGTGGAAACTAATGAACACAGATCACACCCACTTGGGAAACAGTGTGCACCGGTTACACGCGTCTCTAACTACAGCATTTCTGTCCCCTTCTCTCTAATTTCCTACTGCAGCGCCACGTGCCTTCTCACGGTCTCTGCAACGGAACGTTGATCAATGATCAATGATCAATGCGTCGCGTACTAAGAAAAATGCAGTGCGTCACTCAGATGTGATCTAAATCGAATACACTGTAGCTTACTCCATTACGGTCTGACACCGTGGGAGTGCAGGCAGACTTAATGCACAGTTATAAAGAACTTAACGCACCAGTTCATTTAACCTAAATTCACTGCAGCCCACTGTGACATTTTGAAAACTGTACAGAAGCTGTCCTGTGGTAAAAAGGAATGCAAATCATTGCCGGCAACGAACCTTGTGGGGCTTCTTACCGGTTTTAAAGCACTGCGTAAAATTTACGATGCATATTTAAAGCAACGTGCCCCTTATTGCAAAGCTGTCAGTTGCTTAGCTGATCAAGAAATTCCACTCTTTGTATGAAATAAGAAGACAGCAGTGCCGTATTCATAAGAGCACTGTGTTCTGTCACGATGTTGATGGCGATGCTGTATTTAAGTTGTTCGTCTTCAAGGATTCATCTCAATATTGAAGCTGAAGCCCTTCCATTGGTAAGAACGTAAACACAATCAATACTCACCAGAAAATAACTTACATAGAGAAACAGAAAATAAAAATAGGTCAGGGTGTTAGTACGGCTTACACTTTGAAAAACGAGCTGTAAAACGATACCAGATTGGTTGCAGCTGGCTAACAAAGCATTTTATCTGATCAGATCTGCTGTGTTCCAGTGTGTGTGGTACCAATGAACCACGAAGTAAGACAGAAGACTACTTTTCGTAAAGTTTTCACGGTTGATTTGACAGTGGATAAAGGAATTTTATTTCACATGACAAAATCACATTAACGCGTGTTGCATTTCTTAGATTTGATTAAACAATACGTCACCTACCATACTTCCATTCAACGTTATAGGATCAATTTCAGTCGACAAAATGTCGTTAAAGAAACTGAGAGCAGATTAAACCACGGAAAATGCCTTTCAGGACAGTCGCTGCCCCAAACAAACTTCTATCCCTACTCCTCGCTGATACATGGATTTTATATGATACAGAATGACTGCAGAAAGAGGGAACATGTACTCACATTTTCGAATTTGTCTTTATTCTTGACGTGCTGCGCTATGAACCTGGCGTCCTCGATGGTTTTCTCCATCTCGTGCGATGGTTTGTCGAAGGTCGTCGGGCTGTGATCATGAGCGCCACAAACCGCCGCTGCTGTACCAGCCACACATCCCGTTCCAGGACCAAATAGATCGTCGTCAGCTCCCGGAAGAGGCAGCGGAGGTTCCCCGAAACAAGGTGTACCACCCGAAGAACCCATATCAAAACGTGGAGGTAAGGCTGGAATATCGTAGTCCGAGCTAAATCTATTCCCGCTAAACACATATTTGTTCATGTCAGTGGGTACATCGAACACCCCTGTCAGAACTTCTGGTGGTTTGAGTTCGTCTTCGTCGTCGTCGACCGAGTCCTCTGATTTCGGTCTCTCTATGAATAACACCTTTGGGAGTAACTGTATGAACAGACGGTGTACCCAGGGTCTCATGCGATGTGTCACCGGAGACCGGAAATTGACGTTGAGCACGGCTATGGTGACGACTACTGAAAGAGTGACGAGTACCATGGTGAAGAGAAGATACTTTCCTAGGAGAGGAACGGTCAGAGAGGTCGGAGGAATGATTTCAGCGAGCAGCAGAAAGAACACTGTGAGTGACAGGAGGATGGAAATGCAGAGGGACACTTTTTCTCCTGAATCAGACGGCAGGTAGAAAACCAGCACTGAGAGGAACGATATACCGACACATGGAATGATGAGGTTAACGGTGTAGAACAGAGTCTTCCTGCGGAGAGTGATGTTGAAGCTGATGTCGAGATAGGGTTCCTCACAGCAGCTGTAGAACTTCTCGTTACGTACTGCGGGCACACGCATTATGTCCCATTCTACAGACAAGTAGTAGTCCTGGAGGTCGATCCCCACATCAATGGTATCAGAGTCAGGCGACTGGGCAATATGACGCAGATCCACCTACCAGAAAGTCATCATATTATACCCTCAAGTCCGTATAAGAAATCGTTTAAATTTCAGGTACAAGTCACGGGTTACTGTACGTTCATATGTAGAAACATAAAAGCTAATTACAACGGTAATTTTCAAGAACTGCAATGACTTAATGCTTAATCTAAAAAGATACATTCAGTGTTCGAGATTAAATAAAAAAAAATGTATTTGGCGCCGCTCAATATATGCGCTTTCAGTATCACGAGGAGAATCATTATATTTTAATGGAGAATAAATCAGAAAATTCACAGGCATTTCTACGTATCCCGTTTTATTCGTTTTTGACATACGCGGCAATTCGCGTATAACTACACCTATAGTTCAAAAATGTTAGCAAGCATTCCCCGAATTTACTCTGTTCATACGTTCTCCGTGAGTGTAATTCTGATTTGTTAATTTCCTTCCCAAGAATTTGAAGTTTGCCACAGTTTAGAAGTATATTTAGCTACGAAATAATCTTGCCTACATTCTGCTTAAGACACATTAACGCACAATTATATAATTTTCTCTGCGTCTGGTTCTAGACTGACACCGACTTTCAATGTTTTGTTAAAGTATTGGCAATTACTGTCAGAAATGCCGACATCATTTTCACGTGTTGATGAAATTGATTACAGCTGCACTGTTTCGATTAAAATGGAAATTAAAACCATGAATAAACGCGAACAAATGAAAATGTGCACACAACGCAACTTTTGAATGTCAAAACACACAATTCTTTACGTCGTATGGCTCTCAGCAAAATCACAGAAATTGTAACGTTTGAAATTCGCCTTAGAGACAGTGGCACGTGACAACACAACAGAAGTTTATGTTTGTGAGAAACACGGCGTCATCCGCTTTTCAGAGGAGAACGACGACACGCACTACGTCAGGAGACTGAATTCTGCATTTGGAAGGTCCCTAATCGAATGAAGAGGTCCTTTGAGGGCCAAAATGGGAGCTCACAAATGGGAACTACGCAGCAACGCGTTACTTAAATGAAATTATAATCAGAGCAAAGATGAAGTTAAGATTTTTTCTGTTTACATAGATAATTTATTCTCCGACGAACGTCGCAGCCGCTATCTTAGCACCCCTTCTTCGTTTTCGGGGCACCCCGACTTCTAATCTCGGCCCAGAGAATTACTATCTTTGCTGCAAAAATCCAGAACATTACCATTATCGTTATCACCGTAATGACCTCAAATTTTACATATCATCCTAAGAGTTTTGTGGCCTTACTCAGCTCCTCGAAGGAAACAGTTAAGTAGTACCTTAGAACATCCCACGTTTCGTAATCGTTATTCATTAAAAACTGTAAATCTGACGCTATCGGTTACAGAAAGGTTCCACACTATTTATACAAACTCCGCCTGTGGAAATGATTCTAAGATAATTTTAGACCAAACCACATACCCATATTTTGGCCTACAGCCTTAAGATAGAGATTAACTTATTTGTTTTTCGGTATGACATTTTAAGCAATAGGAAAATTTATTGTGTTAATAACCACGAAAAATAATTTTATGGATTTAGCAAACACGGGAAATTAAAATAAATTGAGATAATATTTCCCGAATATACAAATATTTTTCAGGGTTATTAAATTATTGAGTTATCTTCATTTAAATGGACATAATTATAGAATACACAAATTCCGGAGCATAAATTGCAAACCCGAAAATCCTTCCCCTCAGCTAATAAGCAAAGATAGATTAAGATGTACACGGACCAGGTAGCCGTCATAGGTCCAGGAACCGAACTTCATAAAGCACGTCTGTTCATCAAATGGGAAGTACTCCACATCTATCTCACAGAACGACTTATAGATGGCAGGGGGTTTCCACACCACTTTCCCTGTGTGATGGAGTATCGCCTTCGTCATGATGGTCACCTCGTAGTTCCCGTCGGCACTGAAACACATTACAGATTCTTTGACTTTGGGAGAGATAGGAAATTCTTTAAAATATTAGGCGAAAACCCTGAATGAAATAATCTCCTTAGGAGACCTAGACGTAAATGGGAAAATAATTTTGAAATGGATCTTAAAGAAACAGGGTTTGAAGATATGGACTGATTCCATTTAGATCAAGATAGATCGATAAGCAACAGTGATGAAATTTTTGGGTTCTGTAAAGGGTGGGAAATTATTCGCCCGCTGGCTGATAACTATTTTTTAAGAAGGCCTCTGTTCCATGGAGGTACACACTATATATTTATCACATGATAGTGATATAGTTTAATTACCTCGTGGAATGCATGGACTGAAAAAACAAAGGAAAATTTCCGAGTGGGGACTTACACAGCTCTGTTTAATTTAGTTTCACATTAGCTTTTCCATAAATGTAACATTCATGTTTATTATGATTAAGGAATTATGGTAATGATAATGAATGACAGGGGGCGCCAAGTTCATTGAAAATCGAATTATTTGCGGTACGGAATGCATTTAGATAGATAGTTCCCGAAGAGCTGCACACGTGCAGATTCTCTGCTATCAATATTCAGCTGCGTATATTTGCATACTGCATGCATCCTATAGCTACAGTATACAGTGAAAATCGTTTATTATTTCAGTCACACTCACTATTTTATTATAACTTGAATATTTCATGAGTTAAAAAATTAATCAAAGTTACATAAAACACACGTTAAAAATTTCCAACATGACAGTCATAACAACACTTGTTAATATCGGCAGCAGAAAGTAATGTTTTATGAGGGCCACGAACAATAACGTCCCAAAAAAATTATTACTGTAAACCAGCATCGCTACATTCACCGCTGCGAAGCCTAAATCTTATATAAGGAAGAGATAATTTGGATAAAACACGCACACATTCATGTTCAGAGCATGATTCAAACCTGAAAAATTCCGTAACACAGCGCCTGAAATGAAGGACTGGTTACTGGGATGTTTATCGGTACATTTACAGCGAGATTTGGAAACCAAACGAGCCGAAACACATCACTGCGCCTTAGCCGACACCTTCAAAAGGTAAAGATGAGTAAAGGATGAAAAATTTGTAAAACGCCGTCATATTCTTGCATTACAATATCAAGTAACACTGAGAAAACTGAAAAGAATTCATATCGAAAGATTTTTCGAATTTTTCAATTCCCTCAAGTGAGAAAACCCCAGCTAGGCGGAACACGGGGAATCCTTCATGAAGGAGTCTCTACCAAAACACCCCGCGCAAACAAATATGATGGACGCCATGCGAATCTGGTGACACTTGAGACATCCGTAGAAGTATAAAAGTTTGTCTGTGTCATTTTTAAGCAATGCACCCGCTTATTACGGCAGCATCTATCCAGATATTTTCACGAATAATACAAAATGTAGCCCCATCTAATCTGTCACGAAGTTTATATCTTGTTTTCGGGTTCGTTCTTCCTACATAATTATAAATATAAATGTACAATAAAATAAATTACTTCGTACGTACATTTTTTAAATATTCACATTAGTGTATCCTATACAGAAAAGGTAAAAATTTCGCTTGAGGTCCAGTGGTGTGATGGGTGCATTATTATCAGACTCTGGGCTAAAGGAAAGAAGATTACAATCAAAAATATCTAACAATGATTTGTGGTTTTAAATATGGGTAATTATAAATAATTTTAATTTTTTTGTTTATATATAAGGTCCTGGTTATTCTTTTCCTTGAACCTTTAAATCACAAGTCGCTCTTAAGGCGGCGGAATAGACAGTCTATCATTTTCCCTGGCGACAGAACACTTTTGAGTGTTTACGTTTCATGATCTTGCTACTTGAGACAGCTCCGTTGTGGAAACCACTCAGCAGCCCATATAATATCACTCCTCTCGCTTTCTCGTAATACAGTCGCCTACTCATTCATAGCATGATACGGGGAAAAACGACAGTGCATTGCAATTACGAAGTAGTTAAAAACAAATTAAATTCCCGTCGTGATTTCATGATGCGCCGTGCAGCCTGATTAAGTTTACCGACGTTTCTGAGGTACTTGTTGCATCTATCATCAGGGCGATGAGTCGCCGGACATCCCAGTAGACTGTATCCATCAAATTGAATTCCAGTCTCCCAGTTAAACCAAAGATTAAGGTAAACCCAATTATAATTTTCGTTTCTATTTAATGTATCTCTAGGAATTCATCTCTCGTCCAAAGTGAAAAACACTGAGTGAGGATGTTTGAGATCGGAATACTCAGGGGAATATTTTGACCAAGAGAATAGGAAGTAACGACACACTGGAACTAAGGCATAATCAGAAGTTTCATAAATTAAACGCTTCACAAAATATTATTAAAGTGATTAAATCAAGGAGGACAATATTGGCAGAGCATGTAGAACGCGTGGCGAAAGAAAATGCAAAAACAAAATTTTAGTTTTAAATCATAGAAGAAAGAGACCATTCTGCGAAAAGTAAGCATATATATCGGGAGGCGGGGGGGGGGGGGGGGGGTTACTTTTGAAATGGGTCTTACGGAAATAGAGCGCGAGGTTGTGGGCTGGATTGGATTAAGGTGGATCATCATATGTGGTCCAGTGGTCGAGTCTTGTGTAGCTACTGATAAAGAAACTATTTCCACGAAATGCCGGGAATCCTTTGGCAAGCTAAACGCTTATTAGGTTCTCAAAATGTATTCTAGCCCATGAAATTTCCAGGTAACATTTTCCATTTAAATTGTAAGCTGAAATAAATTTATTATTGTATAACGAAAGTGACATAGGCATATTTTAATATCATTGAGGTATTTTTTTAAAATCTTTTAACTAAGCAGTTTATTATGTATATTTAATTTTCACGGTTTCTTGAATGTTAAGTACGAGGCCGGAAATTTTCCTGCAGGTAAGTTACGGTGGCAGACGGTCAGTTGTTATCTCCGTCGTCGTACTCACTTGTTATACAGCACTATGTCGGGCAGCCAGATGTGTTCTGACGGGACATGCAGTGTGTCAACACCGCCATAATCATCCGGGTTCCATTTCAGCTTATAGTCGTTCCATTCCTGCAAAAGACGAGGTATCAGTTCCATAAAATAAATAAATAATACGGCTTGTTTCTCATTTCCGTCGATTTTAATTGATCTCTTTTCGTGCACCATGGTCAGCTTTTACTCGAAGCTAAAGAAATGTGTCTTAAAAAGTTTCAAGCCTTTTCCACTGACCTACGAAATATTCTTTTAACGACACCATAACCAAGTAGTAAAGTGACCGTCAAATAACTGTTCATGGCGTCACATCTCACTTGGCTGGGTGTAGGTCGTAACAATCCTAAGAAACATAAAAGGTAGACAGAAGACATTGGTTCCCTTTCGTCCGCAAGGTGTTTAATTATGTGACAGCTTCTCAACATTTCAAGACAGCATCGATATCTATTAAAATATCTACACGTATAATTCGGAACGTCTTGCTGATACTTTATATTTCAATAACAATAGTAAATATAAAAAATACATTTTCAGTAGCTCTACTGATTGCGGTCACAAAAATATCCTGTTTCTGATTTTATAAATGCATTTCAGAGTTTCTGGCGCTCCTGGAATCTACTGTAAATCATTTTCAGAACGTTTTCAGTAATATGGCCATATTCAAAATTACACCCTTCATGCAGCTTATTTTTAGAAACACGAAAAATATAACACCGAATCCCGAAAAGACCGAAACAAATAAAACAAAAACCAAATAACTTTAAAACCAAGAAAACAGAAATTTAAGCAAAAATTAGAAAGAAATATCCAGACCCAATGAACCTCTTCCAAAGCAAACCTAAACAACACTAACCTAAACTGATCTTACCATAACTAATGTAAACAAACTTACTCTTGCCTAACTAAAGAAAACTAAACTAATCTTACCCAACTTAACCTCACCTAAAACTTGCCCTTAGGTGTAAATTCTCAGTAATTCGGTTATTAAGAGAACTGCATATCGACTAGAAACCCACATCGTAACAAAACGACCAGGACTTTTCCTTTCTTTGAATCAACTTTCCTCCTCTCAACATTAAACACTCATTTTCTGCGTAACTGTACGCCATTATAAATTGATTCTTGCCCGTTTCGCTCTTGGTTTCCCACGAGACAGAGACCAATGATCGGAAAGCACTGAAGATGGAAAAATGAATGAGCAGGGCAAATAAATCGACGGAAGGAAAATATCTTCTACTCGGTTGTAGAGCCTGTCGAAACCTGCTTGGCTCTCTTCAGCACGAAGGATCCCAACCCAATATTCACTGATGTTAGGCTAAGTGTTGAATAAAATGGTTTCTCCTTCAAAGCAATTGGCATCACACAACCTGGTTCTATTCGTACTCTATGCCGCAACTAGGAAAGCGCGTGACTGAAGCCTTGCGTAACGAGTTCGACTCCTGAGACTCAGACAATGGAATCGATTGTGTGATAACATGACGCGAGGTTGCGGTGAAGCGTGTCTGATAATCGCTCATACGATTTTGGCCTTATCGTGGCATTAATACCACTATCAGGTCAAGCTTCAAGTATACCGACAGAGGCTTCACACAGGAAAACAATCTTAAACGTATAACCTGCGGGAATGTCAAAAACCGATCAAGGAAACAGAAGAACATGACTGTACAACCCTTACGTATGGAAGTGGAGCGCTTTTAAAGTATGTATGAATACGGAAATACCAAATGTAAAAGCTACAACAGTTGAAGAATTTCATATCATTATAAATAAACATACAATGACATTAGTAAGCTTTACGTTGTCTAACCGATCAAGGACTCTTACAGCTTTATTTATTTAGTGTTCTGTCTGACGACAGGTCCATATGAACAGGATCCTTCCATCCTTTTCTCGGACTGGGACCTGTTCATATATACGTTCTTGGCAGATGATCCAGAAGTGGTTTGCCATTGCCTTCTTCTGTGTGTGAATTGTTGGGATGCCACGGAGAAACCGGGGAAGCCCCCGGAGGAAAACTCCGTGTTGCCTAGACCACGGCCTTGCCCAACACAAGTTATAAATTCGGGCACCGCCGGGAATCGAACCCGAGACCCCAGGATTACAAGGCCAGCGTTCTTACAGCTTTAGAACAACTAATATTCATTAAAATTACTCTGGTACTTCATTCATGCATGAAAGATATCATTGCATGCCATTCGTTTTGCCCATGTTTTGAAACACGCTGACATGGATCGTATTCAATACCACCTAAGACTTTTTCTTTGCATTTCTGTTTTCTGTCATGCCCGTGGTCCAAATTAGGGCATAGAATTAATTTATTATAAACAAATATATGCTGTATGTGTTTAAGTGACGCAGAACAGAGAAGAATACAAATAATAACCAATGATGACCTGGATTAATAGATATCAAACAAAAATTATACACAATAAAAAACAATCATGTAATGACAAAGTGTAGTTGGCAACACTGGTAATGCAGATTGCTTGTCACTTGATAATTGTGAAATGGTTTCTTTGTTTTGATACCGCACAATGTCACGCGTGATAGTAACTGACGTGGAACTGTAGAAATATTAATTTCGTTCTTGATACATAGACCATTGTTCTTTCATAGAACTATGCGGAATCTTCTACTGAATATTTTGAGATTTATCAGATAAGCACTATATCCCGTAAGTGAAAAGAAAATCTTATTGTTCGATTCGAGCGTACAGCGCACACAGGCCTAAGACTGACTTAAAAACGTCTTTTTCCGATGTTAGACGTTACAGAACAGAATAGAAAAAAATCACGAATGAGGAATACCTAAGTATAGAGAAGGAAGCGACTGTGACATGTTTGAAAGTTCTATCCCAGAACTCTCCTGCAAAGTCTGAGGAAAACAACGAAAAGCATGTCAGATTTATCGGCGGGGAAACTGTTGAGAACCATATTTTCTTTTGTTGTAGTCATCGTCAGAACCGAATAGCCTGAAGATGAAGAAGGTTCTGCAATATATTTCTAATTTTTGAGCAATTACATGCGTACAAGATACTCGAGTGAAAATGAAAGCCACAAAGTGTTTGATTTTCTTAGAAGTAAAAAAAAAAAGAGCAAGACCATTACATCAACGTGTGGAGAAAATTGAAAACGAAAAGTGAACAAGAAATGCTTGATGGCAAGAGGAAGTAGAAGACGTCGTAATTCATTTCGGCGACTGACAGGAGCTGTGACGAAAACGAAATGTTGAGTGAACGCCAAACCTTTCAAGGGACGAGGCAGCATTTATCGGCAGAACTGGTGTAGCAGAGCTGTAACTTCATTTTGGGTGGCCGGTGCAACATTTTAGTGTTACGACTGATTGCAACAGCCCAGCTATTACTCCACATCTCGACATTCGAATGATTACTTAAAGACAATGCTGTTTCAGCTACTAAAGTTAAAATTGACCATACCGCTTTACTGATAAGGATAAGTACCTAAAGGCTAATTTACCGTCAAATACAAGATAACTAATGTTTTAAATTTTATTTGATTTGATTTTAAATAAGTTGTTCAATTTTAAAACATTGTTTATATTTAGTATATACGAAGACAAATACAGATAATTTGTTGCGCGGCGGGAATACCGTATGATTTGTTTGTTATATCAATATAATTACACTATTTATACTACTACCGTTGGTATTCTTTACTGATTCAGGCCGAGTGGGGTAGAAATTAGCAAATCCGTTTTGGTGCACGGTTATATTTTGCATAAGCCCCATACTTTATAGTTTTCCTCGTCTTTGACGCATATTCCTTTACAAGCGTTGGCCAATCGTGGAATAGTCCAGAGAGGGATAGAATTTCGGACTGTCCAGAATAATTAATCGTTTACATGAAGACGGTGTCAGCGACTAAATAAATTGTTTCATCTCTTTCTGACGTCATTAAAAAAATAACATTCTGGTGCTTGCCAGCTGCAATTCCACTCTTATTAATGGTGAAAAGAGGGACATAAAGACCAACTCGAAAACATGGACCACTGGCTGCACAGTAATATACGCCTGTGATTTAGCACAGAGTAACGGATCAGACTGATCGAACGTCCTCTTCCTTATCGGGTTATTTTCCTCTTCACCCACACCACCAGAGACCATGGACAAATCACGACTCCCCTGTAAGCTACAGCACACGACCAAAACCTCACTTTACCCCTGTCATTTCCCTCAGCAAAACATTTTTTGTAAGATCATATTAAATTATTCAGCATCTCCTCCCGGACTTTAACATTGCAGAAGTATATTCTGCGGAAAGCAACAAGCTGAAAATATTATTTTATCCTAAGAGAGATGTATTAAAAGGAGGGGAAAAAATTGATAGTAAAATCGATAAGTTCGATAATTACATGTGGGCCTACATTTACATAAATGTTACGTATCTAAAAAGTTTCTTGTGAATCTCATACATATAATTTTCGTGACATTTCAAGTATTGCGTGTATATACACCAACAGATCACTAAGTTATGCTATCTTTCTTCTGCTATAAAATTAATTATTTTAAATTCTTTAAAAAGTTACTAATATGGAAATCAGATTATCCTTGAGACCAAAGAAGTAAAATAAGCACTGCCATCTCGAATTTCATGTACGAGTACATCGTATGTTTACCAGGACAAAGACGTCCGGTAAACTGGTAATAAACTTCTTGACTAATATTACGATCTCAGTCCTTAGCACCATGACACATGTGAGACTCGATGGTGTTGTTTGAATGTTGCCCTGATGCACTTGAGATTTCAAATGACCATTACTGTAAAGTTTATATATAAATATATATTTTTTTGCTTATGTTAAACGTCAAGAAATTGTGTTTTTGTTCAAAGAATCAATTTGGTATCCATATTTGCTCAGAATGTAATAATTTTCTCTTATTTATGATGGCTTTCATTTACAACCTTATTATTTCGTACATACCTGTTCCACCCAGACATTCGTTGTCATTATCTGATTCTTCAGATTCTGAAATAAAAGAAAACACTGATATAGGGATTCTTCATTATTATACAACACAGTTACAAGCTACAATTAGATGCAGACTAAATATCCGGCCATTTAATCAAGCT